CCTCTCTCTCTCTCTCTCGTTCTTCCCCTTCTCCCCCAAAATCCTTCCTCCACACGAGGAACGTTCTTCCTGTATGCGTGTTATACGCATACGGTTGATTCGAGTGATCGTAACGAAAGAATTTCCTTCTGGCTCGCAATTATTTAAAGTTCCTGCTCTCTCTCTCTCTTCTGAATGAGAAAATTCGCGTGTGGGAGGAAAGTTGTGTGTGTGTATATATATATACGTTTCATTAAAATTTAATAGAAAACGGGAGCAAGGGTGCAATTAAAGGAACGGGGATATTCGGGTTAAGTTTGAATTGGAGTGTTTCAATGAAGGCGGTAAGGTAAGAGTATAGAGGTTGGTAAAGGAGTTAAAACGGAATTTATTTCCGTGTTGTTTGTTATATAGCGCGAGGAAAAAAGTATAAATGGAAAACGTTGTATCGAGTGTTCGAACGTTGGATGAATTTATTTTTTTTCCCTTTTTTTTTTTTTCTTATATTTGCGAAATATGTTGCAACGATCGAACATGAACTCGATATTTGGCGAGCTCCCCATATCGAGCATTCCCGATATCCATACGCGTGGTCTAAAAATGGTGCCTCCAAGGAAATCAATTTCGAATCGTCATCCTCTCTCTTATCTTATCTTTCTTCATCGCTCGTGTCGCGGATACGTTTGATCGATTAAATTCGGAATGAACATTCCCCAAACTCAAGAGAAGAGAATTTTCTCTTTGCGCGAGGATGATTGTACATTCGATTTTCTTTTCATCCCGTGCCGTTGAAAATTTATATCATCAAAGTGTAATTACGGAAGATAAATTCGAGATACGATGAAAAATAAAAATAAGCGATCATCGTTTATCATCGTCTCCTTAAAATGACGACAACTCATTTCGTTTCAAACCCTCTTTAAATCATCCCTTCGTTGATCGATAATTAATGGCAAAGCTTTCGAGATATTTTAAAATCGCGATTCGAGACGCGGATAAATAGAGCACCACGGACCGCAAATACGAACAAATTCCGATTCCTTGCGCTCACAGCGAGGGCTGCGAATTCCGTGCGGCTGACTATGAATGGACCATTCTACTGCCTCAAGTCGAACGCCATTCATCAGTCGACCGGTATCGAACGATACGAATAATAACGAAATATCCTAGCGATGATGCACGATCGATCGAAATTCTACCGCGATAACAATTTGTTTTACGACCGTTAGTAATGCAACGCTTGCCTGCCGAATTTACAATCGACCGGGAGGATTCTCTTCATCCGTTAACGATGATCATTTTTTATTATTCGTCGTTCTAAATTATACGCAATTTCAGGGAACAAGGATAGAATATCGAATAAATAATATCGGTAATTGTTTCAAGTATAATTACGGCGTACATTTTACCGTGAATATAATCATTGAGTGTTTTTAATAACTGTAATTATCCATTAAAATTCATAACGTTTTATCATCTTTTACGCGTACAGTTGTATAATTCACGTCGAAAGAAAAAAAGGGGGAAAAAGCTCGTTATAATTAATTTTCTCTATACAATTTGGAACAATTCAGTTCGATTTACATGGAAATTAATATAGGGAAGCTGATTAAAATGATTGACAGACGAACATATTAATAGCGTGCGGCCGATCGTATTTGAGGTAATTAATGATCGGTAAAATGTCTTCATCAAAGACAGATAGTACAATAAAATTGATAGTTGCGTACGAATACACGATGATTACACCGTCCTACCATTTATTAATAATATATTCCATCGAGTTTTTGGGAAAGAAAAAGAAAAAGAAAAAGAAAAAAAAAATAAAATTCCAATCCATCTCCTCCCCGTGAAAAAAAATTAATTATAAATTTTCAATAAAATAATCCATGCGAATTTGCCGATAACTCATCAAAATTCCATAAATATTCAAAGTGCAAAGAAGTGGAAAAGAAGTGGAAGGAAATACGGCGCGGTGGAGGGCGGGGACACGAGCGAAATACGTGACCGGAAACACGCAGTCGCGAGTAATTATCAATATTTCTTCCGGCTTCGAAACAGTCGACAAACTCGGGACGACACGGCGCACAAACAAGATTGAATTATTAGCGAACAAGACACGTAAGCTCGGCCATGCAAGGCTGGCCCTCGTTGCTTTACGAGCCACCACCCAACCGGCCACCACGCGCCGGCCCCCTCTTTCCCTCCAAAGCTCTCGTTGCTCGCGAGAATTACAGGTCATTCGAGGGGTGGTAAGAAAATCCTCGAGCCGTGGAAATTTTCCACGGTGCCAGCGCGATGTGACTATAAATAAGGATTATATTCGCGTACGACGTGTCGCGCGAATATAAAATTATACGCCTTCGTTCAAAACGGACAGGTTTACGGCCCGACTCGTAATTCCGGTCGAACGTAACAAACAAGCGGGCCTGGAAATCCCTCGATATCGTTCGCGAGGATTTTAATCAGATTCTTCTCGATTTAGCCGTTTCTCGAACGTTCCAGTGTGTATTACAAGCGAGTTTAAATCGGAGTTTGAAAATAGAATCACACGGTTGTACACGGGATACCAAAGGTTAACACTTTTCGCGAATGGATAATTTCGAATTTCTTTTCATGCGTAAATACGCGGGTAAATAGAGGTACGAAAATATACCGAGAGGAGGGGAGGGATACCATCGTGTTTATCAAGGTTTTTTTTTTCTTTTTATAATATCAAGATATCCCGTGCAAAAATTTCGAACAAAAATTTCGAACGCGCGCAATATTCGTAATGCTGTTCGTCGATGGAACTTGACAACGCGTTTCGACGCGTTCGCGATAGACGTACAACAATATTATTCCTCGAAGTTTTATTACTCGAAGAATTCGAGTTGTTTTTTTTTTTTCTTTTTTTTCATTAATCTTCGTTCGAAACGAAAATATAAAATATACTTGCATCCGATGGTGGACGAAATGGTCGATCGTAGTTACACGATGAGCGATCAAAGTGGTATCGTGATTGGGTTCGTCCGATGTTTATCGAAAAAGGAGCGAAAAGGAGAGGGTGGAAGGAAGAGTGAAAAGAGAAGCCGTTTTCACGAGAAACGCGTGGCGGACGAAGCTCGCCGGCCCTCTGGCATCGTCGTGGTAGAAATCGTCGATTTCCCGTTCCGCTTCAACTCTGCGTGGCTTCGAGGCTTCCACAGAGCGGAAGGGAGCCAACTTCCTTTGCCTCCTCTCTGCCTCCACACCAAGGCAGACCGCTCTTTTTTTTGCGGCGCATACCATCGCGAAAATACCCTTCCTCCCGGGTAAGTGATTACTTCCCTTTCAAACGTGTAACCGGATCTGGTATGCGTGCACCCATGGATCATTGAATGGGAGAGGAGGGAACGGCCTTTTCATCGGCGTTTCGCCCTGGAAAACTGCTCTCCCTCGCCCTCCTCTTTCCTTCCTCCTCCTTCGTTCGGTAAACTTTTGATAACGTTATTAGAAGTTGTCGGGCCGACGATCTCTGTGCGACGATCTCCGGTTCTGGAAACGATTCCATCGCGCG